ACTGAGATTAAAAGGAAAAGATTCATCCACAGATAAAAATTATTAATAGTTAAGAAATCAGCAGAGTAACACATACACATGTAGAAGATAGCTACCAGATTGAACAGAATGGTCTTACAAAAAGCAAAACAAACAAGCAAACCAACCCCCCCAAAAGAAGTCATTTTAGGATTTTTAGGATGCAAAAGATGTTCTTTTTTTTTCCAAAATAAAGAAAAAGCCTCAGGCACAAGACTGGTAGAATTTGTGGTTGACAAGGCAAGCCTACATTTGCAATCAAGAAGTGAGCACGACTCTTGAGGCTCACAGTCCACTCATCTTCACAAGTTTCATATAGTGTGAGCATCAGCTACCTATCAACAAAATTACTCTGAGTTGACACACCAGAGAGTATTTCTTACTTCTGAAGTTCACCCAAAAAAACCCCTAGATTACCCTAAAGGTGACAAAACAGACTTTTCTGTTCTCAGAGGACAGAGATGAACTTTGCTAACCGAGCTGCTGAGGACTTAACTGCAGCACACAGAGATCTGCTTTTCACATTCTTGTACTCAAGAGGAAAAGTCACCACACAAATAAGTACCAGCAATATGAGTAAAAAAGACTTATTTTTGTGTAAGGTCAGATCCCAAACCCAGCTATTCCTTAACTGAATAGTACAATAAGCCTTCATATAGGTGATCAGTTCATGGGACATTATTTGAGTCTCAAAGAAACAAAGGCCAATTCTGTTACTCAAAGCTCAGTCTGCCTTTCCTTTTTGTTTAACAGACAAATTTCATTATTATTGTCAGTTGTATGTAATCATACATATCACAAATGTTCATACTACTAAGGTAAGGAATGATGTTGAAGTACAGGGCAGTGGCCAATTTGACATTAAATGGGACAGTCCATCTCAAGCTCACCTAAAGACTATCTTTAAATAGCCAGTAGCCCTTAAATAATACCTGATTCCTATTACATCCTGTTTTTTATTTGGAGGATGGATATCCACTGCTTAGTGCTCTTGGAAAGCTCCCACTGAACTACCACAGCTATATTGGACAAGAATACTGGCACATAACTTAAAATGGAAAGGTATCTTGTGATTAAATGCTGTGTCCAAATCACATGTCAGCTTTTTCTTTTTTAAAACCATGATACAAACTGAAGCTGGTATTTTCCTTGCTATGATAAACATCACAGAAGCATATTCATCCCCATTACTTAACAACAGAACCTATAAACTCCTGCTGATTTCTTTATCCTTTTCTAAAGCACAATTTAAAATCCTACACTGCAGATAAGGGTATACTGCTCACAAGATTAAAGTCAAGGTCACATATTGCACATACACTGCTGCCTGTGAAACAGCGATCTGTTTCACAGACTCCACATATATTTTTAGAAAGGGCTGCTCTAGTCATCAGCTAACAGCCTTTGAATTACAGAAGCGAAGATAAACTTTGGCTTAAAAGGGAAAATGTAAGTCTTCTGTGCCAAAACAGACAGACCCCTGCTGATTTAAGGAAGTAAAGTAGTTCTTTTTATCTCTTCACAAAACCTGAAGGGGAAATCCCCAACACACTGAGTATGAACCTTACTTTCCTTCTGATGGAGCTAAGAGTGAAACTCCCCAAGACTTGATACAACCACAGGTGGACCACCTTTGAGAAATGCTGGCTTCACAGTATGCCTGGTAGCTAAGCTGGTGCTCCCTCCAGACATCTGTTGCATCTTCTGCTCAACAGGCACCTGTGCAGCTATTCATACTAAAGCTACAACACAAGTACCAGCACCATGTAAGAAATGGTCTGTAACACAGAAAAGATTTCTGCCTTCCCCAGAGAACAGCATTTGCACAGTATGTCATTAGTGGACGCCACAAAATATTAGTAATCAGGAAAAAGTGAATACATTGATATGCAATAATTATTACCACATGAGGCTCATAAAAAGATGACAATTCCTAAATCAAACATTAGGCTTAATTCATGAGTATCTAAAAGGGGACTCAAATAATTCTGTTCACACAAAACATGAGCAGCAAAATCTGGATTTTTAACCAGCTTTAATGAACAAAAGATCTTTAAGGCATGCACCAAATAAACAGGGCACAGGCTGAGAGAATGAGGCTGTTCAGCCTGGAGAAGAGAAGGCCCCCGGGAGACCTTGTAGCCTCTTCCAGTACCTAAAGGAGCATTACAGGAGGGGTGGAGAGGGCATGTACTGTTAGGACAAAGGCTTGTACTCACAGAACAAGGAGGAATGGATTCAAACTGGAAGAGAGAAGGTTTAGATTAGCTGTTTGGAAGAAATTCTTTACTATAAGGGGAGTGAGGGACAGAAACAGGTTGCCTGGAGTTGTTGTGGACTCCCCATCCCTGGAGATGTTCAGGGCCAGCCTGGGTGGGGCTTTGAGTGACCTGGTCGAGTGGAAGGTATCCCTGTCCATGGCAGGGGGTTGGAACTAGATGATCTTTAAGGTCCCTTTCAACTCAAACCATTCTATGATTCTATGATTCCTGTTAACTCCCTAAAATAGCACATGTTCTCTTTTGTCCAGTGGAACTAGTTAAGATTGCTCTTTACTAGAAGGACAAAACTACAGCAGCTTTGTGCAGTAGGGAGACACAGAGCAGAGATAACACCACGAATAGGTAGAAGTTCATAAAGTGAATCACTTTTTGTACAATCAGGACTTACCCAAAGAGTTGATCCAAGGCCACCAGAGATGTAAAACTTCTACCTCATCCTGAAACCTGCATGTTTTGGTAGGCCACTGAAAATGCTGAGCAGCTAAATGCTAATTTTTGTAAGTCACTTAGAGAAGATTCCTTTATTTACTATTGCTGCCACCAACCTGTACATTAGTCACCTTTTGCCTTGTTTCTGCAAGACAACAAAATTGAGAGCTTTAGAAGACTTTTCATTACATCAACATCAGTGTGTTGAGACCTCTGGCAAGTGGGGATACACGGCTAAATAAAAGGAGGCCAATAAATAAATAAAAGCAGCATGCTTCTTGTCCACACTGCTCTGCTGTCCGTGAGTTCCTGGAGTCTGTCCTGGACTAGTCCAATTAGTCAGCTTTGAGACCAAGAGATGTCTTAGGCAGGGGACACTTAGCCTAGGAATCTGGGCTAAGAACCTTTCATTTGGCACTGCTGGGATCATTTGAAGGCACCAGTTCCTGACCAGAAATGTGTCACTGTTTTTCATACAGGAAGTCCCAGACAGGACACCACGTGCATGCACAGCAATCAGTTACATTTCCTCACAGACATGGAGTTTCCTCACAGAGGTGACAAGCTTGCAAGATGAATGGATGACAATTCATTGATTGGATAACATGTTAAAATTCCAAGGGGGAAATCAGAAGGAATTTGCAACCTAGGTCACCTTACCATAGGTGATCACATGATTATGTAGTTTCAATTAGCTAACATAACTGAAGATTCTATTTTATACCCTGTATTTGTTCATCTCTTTCTCGAAATATACTAAGTTATCTACATCTTATTTCAGCAGGCTGCACAACTCAGAAGACTACATTAGCAAAACCATTTTCAAATGGAGAAAAATTCCTAATGCTCTGCCTTTGCAGTAACCTCCCTTTGGGAACCAGACTAACCCACCAGACATTATTCATTAACAGATACACTTTATTTCAAAACTGGGGAGCCTCTGAGAAATGAGCATGATTCTCGGGAGTTTTAAAAACTCATCTGCTTAAAGGCCTAAACAATATTTCAGTAACAAAATAGCCACTTTTCAGAATTTACACCTAAATTTTGGAGAAGCAACTTCTGGTGTTCAAACTTTCACTGATGTAACTACTACATATAATAATACACTGTGACACTGACTTACTAAATCTTCAAGTTCTTTAAAGTGCTGCTGAAGTTTTTTTCACATTCCTCTAGAAGCCAAGTATACCTCCATTCAATCTAAACACCTATGCACGAGAAAGCCCACTCCTGGATCCAATCACCAAAATTCAGTGAAATTACAAAAATAAAAAGAACAGCAACACAAACCTGTCAAGAGAAAGAGTGGCCTAAATAACAATTATAGGGCATCCAAACTGATGCTAGTTACTCCACTCTCTACCTGGGGCTTTTTGTCGTAAGATTTTTGAAGTGCCAATACCATAAGCTGTCACAGACATCTTTTATGAAAAATCTTTCCTTAGGATTTTTTCTCCTGAGAAACTGAGAGGCCTCAGGAACAAAATGTCAACAATGATTATCTGCTGCTGTGGAATGCAACAGGTGGATCATGTGGTTGTTTCTAATTAATGGCCAGTCACAGTCCAGCTGCTGGACTGTCTCGGTCAGTCACAAGCCTCTGTTATCATTTCTTTTTCTATTCTTAGCTAGCCTTCTGATGAAATCCTTCCTTCTATTCTTTTAGTATAGTTTTAATATAAAATATATCATAAAAGAATTAATCAAGCCTTCTGAAACATGGAGTCAACATTCTCATCTCTTCCCTCATCCTAAGACCCCTGCAAACACCATCACAATAAGCATTGATACTTCTTAAAACCAGACATATTACTGTCATATAATCATATAACCATCATGATTATATTTGAAGTAGTATGCACAAGGATGTTTAATGCTGGGGGGATAGTAACCTATAAAAGTAGTTCACAAACACCTGTCTAACTATAAGCTGTGACTAGAAATGGGTTGATGTACTATTATAATGTCTCTCCTTCACCTCCCAACCCCGCTCTTCATATCGAAATCCTGTTACTGAATCCACGGCACCTTTGAGGCCTTTGTGCCGGAGGGAGGAGGACAGGGACGATAGGGAGGTGAAGGAGGAGAGCGAGAGCTGCCTCTTGTCTCCTCCCCGTGCCGCAGAAAGCACCGCAGCGAGCTGAGGAGCCCAGCACTTGCTGACAGCGTCCCCGCCCCTGCCGCCGCTCCCTCGTACCAGAGCGCTCCCTCCCGCCCAGGCCTCCCCGCCCCTGGCCCGCCCCAAGCCCGCCCGCCCGGCCGCAGTACCTCGCAGCCGGGGGAACTCGCGGTCCCGCAGCGCCCGGAGCCCGTCCCCGTGCCCGTAGCCGTACTCGCAGCCTGCGGGGCGGCCGTCGAGGAAGGCGCGGAAGGAGAGCAGTTCCCCGGCCATGGCTCCCGGCATGCAGGGCCCGGCGCGGCGAGCAGCGCGGCTCCCGCCCCAGCGCAGCCTCCGCGGGCGCTGCGCTCTGGGCCCGCTCGGCTCGGCACGGCCCGGCCGGTCTGCTCCGCTCCGCCCGCCTCCCGCCCCGCCTGCCCCACATGAGCCAGGGCCGGTCCGGCCGCCGCTGAACCGGGCACTGGGGCAGGCACAGGGAGGAGTTTCCCGTAAGGAAGAAGTTTCCCGAAGCGCTGGCAGATCGGTTTAGAGGTGGCAGCAATAAAAGTGTGCTCTCCTGTTGAGGCATCCTGTTTAAAATATTTCGTGGAAATCTCTCTCCCCTAAAATTTTCCAGTTCAAGGTCAGATTTCCCTCGATGCCTCTTCCATTGCTGCTAATAGCAGAGGCCGCTTTCTCACACCTTGCACTTGGTGTACAGTACTCCTGCATCACGTCGAGCTGGCTCATTTGGCCATAGATGCTGTGTGGCCAATGCAAAGTACCACAGCCCAAAGCCAAAGGTGTGGAATGGGCTGGTCATCAGGGGTAAAGAGAACAGGCTTATTCTCCCATGTAAAAACCATTCCTGAAAAATCCTCTGCTTTGTCAGATACACCATAACCATATACATAATCAAAAAAAAAAAAATCATAGCCAAAGGAATGCGTTTGTTGAGGTTTTTTTATTTGTTTGCTTTGATTGTTCTTTCATGGTTGGGTTTTGTTTGGATTTTTTTGTTGTTGTTGTTTTGTTGTTTTCATATTAATTTTTTCCTGACATACTACTCACAATGAATTTTTCTACTTACAGCTCTGCAATCTGCAGAACATTAAATGACCTCCAAAGTTAGGCCAATACCAAAATAAAACTGCACATATTAGGATGGACCTACATCCAAAAACTGGAAAGGCAGACTCTCGTTAGATTGTTTGAATGCTACTAGTGGGATGCCAGTGAAATGGGAAGCTACACAGAACAAACTTCAGCCCAAACTGAACTGTAAAGATTTTCACTTACAAAGTGGTACTGAAATAAAACCATGTAGAAAATAATAAAATAAGCCTGACATGAAATATAGCATGCTAATGTGCTCCCTGCTTTATATACTAGGAATTTTTGTCTAATTTAAACACATAGCCCTGGCTTCAGGACATATATTTCTATAACACTATAAAAGTGTGTTTGCCCCTGACTCTCTATTCATGATTGGGGCAGGTATATAGTGTATGACATCCCCAGGTGAAACTGTACACCTTTCAGCCAGCTGATGATTTTACCAAAACTAATTGCCAAATAAGTTACACCTTAAACATTTCCTTCCTGATGAACAAAGCACCACTGAGAAAAAAAGAACAGTTGCTATCAAGTGGAGCAATATTCTTGGCTGATCTCCTGAAGTCACTTAAAAAAACCCCACCAAAAACCCAGAAAACCCCAAAACAACTACCAAACAAAAACCTTGCACCAAATAGCTTCTTAAAAATTATTTTAACAGTTTATGAACTGCAATTTAGGAGACCCTAGGCTATCACTATGATTTATTTTTTATTGCAAGTACATGCAGAAAATATTTGCTATGGATTTTCCTTAATATTTCTAGCTTCCTGTTATCAGTTTACAGAGCAATTTATTTTTATTGATTGCTATGCATAGTTCCCTCAACACTTGCATATATTGTCTACATCAAATAGTTGTTTTCAAACCCTTATGGAAACTAGTTTTCCCCATCAAAACAGATGACAGAACGCAGCTTTCTGATCTTACAATAAATGTGTCTTGAAGACCTAATTTCCATTCGCATTTTTATATAAAATATGGTCCCTCACAATTGATTTGTGTCTCTTTTCTTTGTCCTGATTTTTGAAGATTAGTCCTTTGGAAGTAACACATACATGGAGACTACTAATTGGCAATGTGCTCTGTTTGCAAACTCTATGAAGCCTCGTGATGATCACTGATTATTGGGTTTCCAATGAAGTGCCTTGTTAATCCATCATAAGGGCTGACCAGAGTCTTTAAACAGTAAGAGGCATTCAGGCCACTCAATGTCAGTATAGAAGGTTTTGTGTTTGAAGATTAGTATAACTTCTAAACAACTAACTAGGCTTTACTGTTAACTCTATTATTGAGGTAAAAGGTGGATATTTCATAGAATTTTAACATGCAGCCACAACTTTCAGCTCTGAACTTGGTCACACCCAGCTTGCCTAACCACAACAGGATTATCCCAAGGCACATCTTACAGTGTTCTACTTTGACAAAGCTTTTCTGACAAGGCTGCTATAAAATTCAAAGGGTAATGCTGTAGAAAGCCCAGAGCTAGGGCTTTGTCTCTGCCTTGGTCTACTGTATGAGCAGGAGAGGGTATCCCTTCCTTGTAGTTGCCTTAGATATTAATTCTTGAAAACTGTCAGAGCTAATGGGCATGATTGGATGTTGTATTAAAGAGTTGAGCAGTTTGGAACCATGTAACAGGAAGCATACAGAATAGTAAGAGCCAACATAATGCAGTATATGTGAAAACTGCAAAATGGGTCTTGGAAGGGAGGGGTATTGCTCTCAGGCAGAACTTTTGCCAGCAGAAAGCCAGATTCTCTTTGATCCTCCACTGACACTGAAAGCATTAGTGGAAATGAATGCTACAGCCATTAAATGATTGCACTGAGGTCAGCACAGGCACAGCCTCACCTTTGTGCTTCTATGTTAGGAAAGGCAAGATTAACTCATTGCAGCCCAGATAACACTTGTTACAAGTTCAGGACTGACATAATCCTTCTCGTTTATTCATTATACGCAAAATTCAGTTGACCCTACTAAATTCTTTTGCACATTGCATCATGGAACAATAAAATACTGTTTTGCTCATTGTAGAGACAATGAGCAGAATGTATGCACTCAGTGCTCCAGTCTCTGATTAACTGCTTGATCTGAAAAAATGTGCAGGATCAGAACTCTGATGCTGTGGCTTACTAACTGTAAACAGTTTGAATTTTGGCTTTGTTGACTATAAGGAAAACTTTACCTAAATCAGAACATGCTGACAATTAGTTTCAGAAATACCATTTATTTGTATAGCTCTTTGAGACCACCAGTTATAAAAAATCTACTGTGGCACACAGAGCAAGAGTCAAGATTGTAACTGTTAGTTTATTCCTGTGCAAAAAAAAAAAAAAGAAAAAAAAGAAAAAAAACCACACCAACCAAAGCCAACAAAACCACAAAAATCAAACTATGCTCAAGAAAAATACAAGACTTCCTCATTTACACCTGATATTCTGTTTTGCACATAGATGGTTGCCTTTAGTAATGAAAATGGCCAAATTTCTTATCAGGATTAGAGGTGTCATTGTCAACTGTTTACACATTTGGTCTATGGCAATCTTTCACTCAGGGAAAAAAGAAGAGAAAATCAGTACCTTACATACACAACCCCTCAGCAATTGTACTCCACTTTTAGCAAAAGCAAGCATGAAAATAAAATATTGGTGGCTTAAGTTGAAGGAGTCTGTTGATTTGAAGAACAGAAAATGTTTCAGCATTCAAAAGACTAACTCCAGCTCTGAAGTAGGCTTGTAAAGACATTACCGTGAGACGTGGGGTTTATTCCTAAATAACTTATTAGCAGAGGAATCACTGAGAAAGCTGTCCCTGCTTGATAGCATGCTGCATATCCCCCAACATTACCACTAAGAGTAACCATAGGTGCTTATTGCCAACTCAATAGCTGAGGAGAAGCACAGCAGGAAGGGAATGTGAGAACAGACAGGGAAGCAACTCCTCACACCACTGCAGGGTGCAGTGGGAAGGACCCAGCACTGGCAGAGTCATAATAACCCTGTAAGCCTCTGCATCCTCCAAGTCCATTGTGATCAACCACTTCCAGCCACATGCCTTAATCATTCCCCTGTGAGGGCCAACATTTCTAAACAAATCCAGATCATCAGATTGAAAAGACTCCTGAGCCAGCAGGACAGGTCATACAAGAAGCTTGAGCAGAAACACAGGTGCCATAACAATTTGGTGGGGCAGGTAGGATGGGTTGTCTCTCAGCTCCCTGCCCTTTTTGCCCTCCTATTCCACTAATGCTCTCCATTTCCTCACAGCTTCACTTCCTACACATGCTTCCCATTTCTTCCTCCAGACTATTTGCAGCCCACATTCTCTTTTAGTTGCCTTTAAATTTGGCTAATCCTTGTCTACCAGTGGTGAATCCTGAGACAGATCCCCATTCCTGAAAAAATTAGCAACGATTAAGAGGTGGGAAAAAACCCTTGATAGTACAGGTGACACATTCTGCCCCATTTCCCACTCCTCTTCAGGCCTGTGTTTTGAAACTTTAAGCTCTGGAACAGAACGCTTTTTTCTGCTTTTACTGACTATGTCTGTTCAGTGTTTGTTGCAATCAGCCCCTGTTCTGAGGCAAACCCCAGTCCCAGCTTAGGTAGCAGGTAATGAACATCTAAACAGCTTTAGGCCATAAGCACTCACGCTCGATGGAAGCATTTAATTCCTGCAAATGTTATTATTAAACTTTATGTTCAAAGGTTTTAACGGTTACTAAATGTGGGATCTCAGCACATCGTTCCCGATGTCCAGAGATGCCAGGAGAACCCTTGGGGGGTCTCGAAAATCCTGGAATGTTGCCAAGAGTGTTTGGTGGCTTGATTTTGATCCATCCACAGAAGTAACAAGAGTTTGAGGACAAGAGAATCACTTTAGAGTAAAAGGTGTAAAAGAGACACAATTAGAGGGTGAGATATAGATTTTAAGGTTTTTGGTACAGGGGGGTTATGGAGACAAGATGGAGGGATCAGGGCGTGTCTTGTCCTTCTTCTTTCTTCTTCTTGTCCTCCATCTCCTGTGATGATGTTGGCACTTAGAGATTGGTTTATGGTGAAGGTGCACTTGCTAACATGGGTGAAAAGCATTGGGAAATAAAGGTAAATATTGTGTACGTAGGTTTTAGTATAAAAAGACATGACCGCCCCGTGGGTGGTCAGAGAGTGCCTGTG